TTGCATTTTCAGTCTTTCTTTCCTTCTTCTCCTTAATTTTTGCCTACTGTTATCATTTTATAAATTACTTGCCATTGTTCCCTATGTAACGTGAACATCTCTTTAGGAAATGTAAGATGTTAAATTTAATTTTCTTTAACGAATCTACCGTTATAATTCAATTCTGCTGCTTATGCTATTAATTCTTCATTTTATTAATTATGCTGCTTATGCTATTAATTCTTCATTTAGGTTTGATGGATGTCCTGATGAGTCAGTTTTGTATTTTGTGGTGGGTGTCAAAAGGTGTTCGAGAAAGCACAAATGGAGGCTTTGGCAAATGGGCTCGACCGGAGTGGAGTCCGGTTCATATAAGTGGCGATGCCGTTGAAAGCGGAGCAATTAGCTGAGTGTTTTGGATCGGTCCTTGAGGGATTCGAATAGAGGGTTGTGGGTCGATGGTTAGTTAATTGAAAATGCAGATGTAGAACAATGGTTAGAACTAGAGCAGTAGACATAGTATCAGGCTAATTTTTGTTTTTGTGGGAGCTCCCAGACCCTATAAATTCTGTTTCCACATTAGAATTCGACTAGATTGTTAATTAAATGAAAAAAAATAACACTGTAATGGTTGAAATATACCGTGATGAAGCTTGAAAATATAGCCACGAGGCTTGATGAATACTGATTAGTTGTACCACGCGTAGGGCGTGCATCTTTGTTTGAAATTTGGGGATTTTTGGACATTTATGAGGAAAATTGCTGGTTTCCTAATAAAACTTTGAAAGAATGTGGTGTTGGTTATACCCAGTAGCTTTCACTTTATCATGGACTTCAATAATGTCATGTGGATTTGAGGTGAAGGTAATATTTATGAACATCGATTTGGTGGTGCATTGGAGGTGATGGTCATGGTGGTGGATTGCGATACTTGTATGCGTTGTGTGCAGATTTGTATGTGGTGATCCTATGCGACCAAATATGTGTTTGTTGTGACTATTTGTGACCAATTTTGTGTTGATTGTGACAGATTGTTGCTTGAGATTGATCTGGTCACAGACAAATACACTGAATATAAATTTGGTCACAGTCAGTCACACCGAAGACAAAGTTGGTCTCGATTAATCACATGTCAGTGATAAGATTTGTTTATGATGACCTCATGCGATCAAGTATGTGTTTGTGAATGCTTGTGACCAATTTTGTATTGATTGTGACCGGTTGTGACTTGAAATTGACATGGTCACATATAGTCACACTGAATACAAATTTGATCACAATTAGTCACATTGAATACAAATTCAATCTCAATTAGTCACTGATAACTCAAAAATTTAATAAGATATTATTAATTGATATATTATTAATTTAGTGGGGTTTGATGGGGAGGGGATTTTA